GTATGAATCATATCTATATATCTATATCTATGGCTGGATGGCTCTTTGTGAGGAGGGCTTTGTTTACATTTTCTTGCCCTGGTGAAGGGAGTTGGACTGGATGGCCTTAAGTATGTTCTGTTGGTCATGGGGGTTCTGTGTGGGAAGTTTAGCCCAATTCTGTCGTTGGTGGGGTTCAGAATGCTCTTTGATTGCAATAATAATAATAATACTTTATTTATACCCTGCTACCATCTCCCAAGAGACTCGGTGCAACTTACATGGGGCTGAGCCCACAATACATCAATACAAGCAATAACAACCAAAATACAAAGCAAAATACAAATACTAATACAAAGCAATTAAAATAAATCTCATACACAGATAGCATAAACATTGAACAATAGCACAAAACACATTTAAAATCTATGGCTGGGCCAAATGTAATTAAAGTTAAATGTAGGTGAACTGTAAATTCCAGTAAGTCCCAAATGTCAAGGTCTGTTTTCCCCTAACTCTACCAGTGTGCACATTTGGGCATATGGAATATTGGTACCAAGTTTGGTTCAGATCCATCATTGTTTGAGTCCACAGTGCTCTCTGTATATAGGTGAACTACAACTCCCGAACTCAAGGTCAATCCCCACCAAACCTTCCCAGTCTTTTATGTTGGTCAAGGGAGTCCTGTGTGCCACATTTGGTATGATTCCATCATTGGTGGAGTCCAGAATGCTCTTTGATTGTAGGTGAACTGTAAATCCCAGGAATCACAACTCCCAAATGTCAAACTCTATTTTCCCCAAACTCCACCTGTGTTCATATTTGGGCATATGGAATATTGGTGCCAAGTTTGGTGCAGATCCATCATTGCTTGAGTCCACAGTGCTCTCTGGATGTAGGTGAACTACAACTCCCAAACTCAAGGTCAATGCCCACCAAACCCTTACAGTGTTTTCTGTTGGTCATGGGAGTCCTGTGTGCCACGTTTGGCTCAACATTGGTGGAGTTCAGAATGCTCTTTGATTGTAGGTGAACTATAAATCCCAGGAACTACAACTCCCAAATGACAAAATCAAAATAAATGTTGAGTTTAAAACTGTGTGCACATGCACACACAAACACACATCCTGAGTGTGTTAAAAGGCCAACTTCGGCCCTCCCTCCAGGTGTTTTTGGCTCAAGCCCCTCTTTGGCCCTTTGGAGAAGGTCTAGGAAGAAGACTCACCAGAAGGAGAAGAAAGAGGAGAGGAGGAGGAGGAAGGAGAGGCCAGAGGGGCCAACTCCCCTCTCCCAGCCAGGCAAGGAAGGGTGAAGGGGAGGGAGTGTGGTTCCTAGAGGGACAGGAAAGGCAGGTCTAAGGAGGCCCACTTCCTGCCTCTCTGGGAACCACACTCCCTCCCCTTAACCCTTCCTTGCCCAGCCTTTCTGGGAAAGAGCCTTTCTCCAAAGCCATAGATCAGTCTCACCCTGAGACCAACAGAAAACACAGTATTTTCTGGGTTGCTGTAGGTTTTTTCGGGCTATATGGCCATGTTCTAGAGGCATTCTCTCCTGATGCTTCACCTGCATCTATCTATGGCAAGCATCCTCAAAGGTAGTGAGCTCTGTTGGAACTAGGAAAGAGGGTTTATATATCTGTGGAAGGACCAGGGTGGGACAAAGGACTCTTGTCTGCTGGAGCTAGGTGTGAATGTTTCAACTGACCACCTTGATTAGAATTTGATAGCCTGAAAGTGCCTGGAGAAAACTTTTGTTGAGATGTGATTAGATGTCCCTGATTGTATGCTGCACACCTGGAGGGAGGGACAAAGTGGGCCCAGGCCTCATTCACTCACAGGTTGGCCTTCTGCACACTCATTGTGTGTGTGTGTGTATTTATTTATTTATTTATTACTGTGCTTATATACCGCCGTTTCTCAGCCTAAATCGGCGACTCAACGCGGTTTACAACACAACGACAAGCAGCAATATTCCATTAAAAAGCATAAAAACACATACACAATACACAATATTATTGGGCCACCAATAATAATCCAATGCATCTCTTAATTTTAGTCGCAATCCAATTTCGTCGTCTGTGATTAACCAATCCTTGTTCATCAGTTTCGTTGCACCAGATTAATCGAATGCTTGTTTAAACATCCATGTCTTCAACCTTTTTCGAAATACCATCAGCGAAGGGGCTGATCTCACCTCTATGGGGAGGGCATTCCAAAGCCGAGGGGCCACCACAGAAAAGGCCCTGTCTCTCGTTCCCGCCAGCCGCACCTGTGAAGCAGGCGGGATAGAGAGCAGGGCCTCCCCAGAAGATCTTAGGGTCCTGGTGGCCTGGTGTAGGCAGTTATAAAATATCTAAATTGCTATCAAACCTGCTGCCCGAATGCCTGCTCCCAAAACCATGTTTTGAGCTTCTTCCTAAAGGAGAGGAGGGATGGAGCTGACCTAATTTCACCCTCATTTCCATAGGTAGGGGGGCCACCACCGAGACAGCCCTGTCTGGAGGCTGGAGAAGCAGAGGGCCCAGTGAAAGGAGGGCCTGGCATTACCTGGCTCTGAAATAAGTAAATAAATGGCTTGTTGGGTTGCTGTAGGTTTTTTCGGGCTATGTGGCCATGTTCTAGAGGCATTCTCTCCTGACGTTTCGCCTGCATCTATGGCAAGCATCCTCAGAGGTAGTGAGGTCTGTTGGAAATAGGAAAAAGGGTTTAATATATCTGTGGAATGACCAGGGTGGGACAAATGACTCTTGTCTGCTGGAGCTAGGTGTGAATGTTTACACTGACCACCTTGATTAGCATTTGATGGCCTGGCAGTGCCTCAAGCAATCTTTTGTTGAGATGTGATTAGATGCCCTTGTTTGTTTCCTCTCTGTTGATGTGCTGCTGTCATTTTAGAGTTTTTTTTAATACTGGTAGCCAGATTTTGTTCATTTTCATGGTTTCCTCCTTTCTGTTGAAATTGTCCACATGCTTGTGGATTTCAATGGCTTCTCTGTGTAGTCTGACGTGGTTGTGAGAGTGGTCCAGCATTTCTGTGTTCTCAAATAATATGCAAGTTTACATAGGGACCGAGGAGCCCCCAGTGGCGCAGTGGGTTAAAGCACTGAGCTGCTGAGCTTGTTGATCAAAAGGTCGCAGGTTCGATTCCGGGGAGCGGCGTGAGCTTCCGATGTCAGCCCTAGCTTCTGCCAACCTAGCAGTTTGAAAACATGCAAATGTGAGTAGATCAATAGGTACCGCTCCGGTGGGAAGGTAACGGCACTCCATGCAGTCATGCCGGCCACATGACCTTGGAGTGTCTACGGACAACGCTGGCTCTTTGGCTTAGAAATGGAGATGAGCACCACACCCCAGAGTCAGACATGACTGGACTTAATGTCAGGGGACTACCTTTACCTTTTACATAGGGACCACCAAACGCAGCTGCATTGCCCAGACACGAATCAAGGAACATGAAAGGCACTGCAGACTACTTCAACCAGAGAAATCAGCCAGAGCAGAGCACCATGAACCAGCCTGGTGATGAACCAACCTGGACACTGCATATTATTTGAGAACAGCTGCTGATTAAACTGCTGTGCTATAACCGGCCTAATGTTGTATATCATTGATTTTGTTATAGAGTGAGAATTTGATCTATTTTGCAAAATTTAAGTCTCTGGATGTTATATTAAGGAAATAATAATAACCTTTAATTGAACTGCACAGGATAACAACAACAACAACAACAACTATACCTCATTCTCTTGTCTGCCTTGTCATTGTATAATTGGCATTGAATGTTTGCTGTATATCGTGTTCTGTGATTCGACCTGAGTCTCCTTTGGGGTGAGGAGGCCAAAATTAAATAATGTAAATAAGTAAATAAATTATAGAAAAACAACAAGATTCATGATTTTTAATTTAATGTGGATTAAAAGTGTTTGTGCCAGGAGCAGGGAAACAGACAGTAAATTCTAGCTGCAGATACAATTTGCACATCAAGGGAAATAACAGGGTAATCAACTTTTCCTTTGACTTGGTAAAGGAGCTGCAACCGAAGCCCAGAGGAACAATTGATGGTTTATTTTTAAAATAAGTGACATAACAATCATATTTAACCCTCTGAAGGATTGTCAAAGGTATGACAAAATGAAAATCATGCGTAGTTCACGTTTGACCAACCCACACACTGACTTGCCAGAGGGGGAAAAAAAGCCACGCAGATGAACAGCAAAGAACAAGTAGCTTACTCTTCGTAGTTCAGAACAACATATTTACAATCATGTGATCAGTTCTATCGACTCACATAATGTCCTTTTATGAGAGATTTAAAATGGTCTTTCTTTGTCCATGTGGAGAATCTTCTAGCAGCTTATGAAGCAAGAGTACATTTCAAAACTGTTTCCCTGTGCTTCTCTCTCTACTCTATGCAAGCACCTGCATAACTAATCCTAAAAATGTAACAGTATCCAAAAGTCCCAGGCTCAGCCATCTCCCTGGGTGTTGCCCAGCCAAACAGATTAGGACATCTTATTTTACAGTTGACACACATACACACTAACCGATTTCTTTACATGCTCCAACAAAAGGGAACTTGCTTTCTGCTGTTCCAAAAAAGAGGACCTCAACTAAGGAATTCAAAGAACAAGAAAGTGGACTCTACCAAATCTTAGGCAGTATTTCTCAGACAGTCCTGTCTGAAATTGGATGTTTACCCACAAAGGGAGAACAGAGGAAAGACAGTCGAGTCCCATGGTGACGCCTGTGACCAGAGAAGCAAAAGAGTTCTCCAAAATAGTCCCAAATCAAGCAAAGCAAAAAACAAAACAACTGAACAAAGTTCGAAACCAAGACGTGAATTGTCTAAAAAATAAGTCCAAAGTCAAGTAAAGTGTTACTGAAAGCAAGGAAATCACATGGGTTCATCAGAAAATGTTAAGTGTATAGTCTACAACACCAGAATGTCTATAAACTGCAATTTCCCTGTTGCAATTCATTTTTTTTTACTCTTGTCCCAGCTCTCTGAATGTTTCTTCTCTTCTATGGATTCTCTGGTGGCTCACAAGGGATGAGTTCTGAGTAAAACATTTCCCACACTCCTGGCATTGGTATGGCTTCTCTCCTGTGTGGATGCTCTGGTGTCTCAGAAGTGATGTCTTGTAAGGATAACATTTCCCACACTCCTGGCATTGATATGGTTTCTCTCCTGTGTGGAGTCTTTTGTGCCTCACCAATTGTGAACTGGAAGCAAAACATTTCCCACACTCCTGGCAGTTGTATAGCTTCTCTCCTGTATGGAGTCTTTTGTGCCTCACCAAGTCTGAACTGGAAGTAAAACATTTCTCACACTCCTGGCATTGGTATGGCTTCTCTCCTGTGTGGAGTCTTCTGTGCTCCACCAATGGTGATCTGCGAGCAAAGCATTTCCCACACTCCTGGCATTGGTATGGCTTCTCTCCTGTATGGAGCCTTTTGTGCCTCACCAAGTCTGAACCGGAAACAAAACATATCCCACACTCTTGGCATTGGTATGGCTTCTCTCCTGTGTGGAGTCTTTTGTGCTTCACCAAGTGTGAACCATCAGCAAAACATTTCCCACATATCTGGCATTGGTAAGGCTTCTCTCCTGTGTGGATTCTTTTGTGCTTCACCAATGGCGAACTATCAGCAAAACATTTACCACACTCCTGGCATTGGTATGGCTTTTCTCCTGTGTGTTGTCTTTTGTGTCTCACCAAGTCTGAACTGTAAGTAAAACATTTACCACACTCCTGGCATTGGTAAGGCTTCTCTCCTGTGTGGAGCAGTTTGTGCCTCAATAAGAGTGAACTGCGAGCAAAACATCTCCCACACTCCTGACACTGGTATGGCTTCTCCCCTGTGTGGAGTCTTTTGTGCCTCACCAAGTTAGAACTGTAAGCAAAACTTTTCCCACACTCTTGGCATTGGTATGGTTTCTCACCTGTGTGGAATATTTTCTGGCTCACCAATGGTGAACTATCAGCAAAACATTTCTTCCACTCCTGGCATTTGTATGAATTGTCTCTTGTGTGTGATCTCTGAGCAAAACATTTTTCACACACCTGCCATTGGTGTGGCGTCTCTGATGTCTGAAGACTTGTGTACCTCACCAAAGCTGAACTGTAAGCAAAACACTCCCCACACTCCTGGCATATGTATGATTCTTGTCCTGTGTGGAATCCTTCATGTTCTACCAAGTGTGAACTCTGGAGAAAAGTTTTTCCACACTCCCGGCTTATGACATTCTCAGTTCCTTTAAAGATTTCTTGTTGGCTCAGCTGTGGCAAGTTGCAATCAGTAACACAGTTTGCTGATTCTTTCCATTCAAGATAGCTTTCCCTAGCATGGAGTGTCTTGTGAAGCACAAGTTCCATATTTTGGGTAAAACACTGCCCACAAACATTGCATTTGCAGGGCCTTTCTCTGGCAGAACCTCCGTCTTCACTGTGGGTTTGCTGGTGACTAGAAAGGCCCCTGTTGTGGCCAAAATACTTACTGTGTTTGGTGTATACATTGCTCTCCTTCCAGTTATCTGGTGTAAAGAAGAAGGACAGAAACAATCATTCCTCAGCGTGAGTGATAAAGAGTCTAAAGATATAAACAATGTCCTCTCTCCACACCTTGTTCAGCAAGGATTGACACTGTTTCACTGCCTGGAGCCTCTAAAGGTGAGCTGAGTAACATATGTTTCAGAGCATACCTGTTCCTCAGCCCAGCATGTTTTTTTAATTCTGTCTCCTTCTCTCTTTTCCTTTCACATTCAAATCCTTCCCTTTTTCTCTTGCTTAAACTTTCCCTTGCTACCACCCATTCCACAATCATTCCCTTCTTTTCCTTTCTCTCCCCCAACCGTCAGTTCTCTCTCCCCATGTGACTGTAAACAAAAAACCACAAGCCGCAATCATTCACAAGCATAGAACATAGAACACATTATGTTGCAGGTCACCATCTTGCTAATGACTGAGGCTAGGGACAGTTTGCGTGCTGGGAGAGGCAGCATCCAAATAGAGCCTGGCCTGCAGACACGCAGAGGCTAGACTGCCTGGCTGGGAGGAAAAACAAGGCTGAACATGAGCCCAATAAAAAGATGTATAGCTGCGCATGTGTATGTGAAGCCTATGGAAGTTTGTGCTTCTTGATTATCCGTTCTCTGGCCCCACTCTCCAGCCAATCAATCTGGGCGATGGCTCTTAATAGATTTCCAGGGAGCCCGAGTTACTGGGAAGAAGCATATCAGCAGACATCAAGAGCATGTCAGCTTTTGCAAAACAGCCCTTTCCCATCATTTTCCAGACTCTTTTCGGCTTCAGGCATGCAGTGGCTTTCCAAGCCGTCCAAGGGCACACAGGATATAAAACCAGATGGTTCAAAATGTGTGCCTGAAGTCAGGAGAGGTTTGCTGGGTTACTTTTTGAATATTTACTCCCCTTTCCACGCCCCCCTCCCTGCCTCTCCCTCATACACACACACTCACAGAGGTTTGTTTAGACCACATCTGGAATATTGTGTCCAATTCTGGGCACCACAATTCAAGAGAGATATTGACAAGCTGGAATGTGTCCAGAGGAGGACACTAAAATGATCAAGGGTCTGGAGAACAAGCCCTATGAGGAGCGGCTTAAGGAGCTGGGCATGTTTATCCTGAAGAAGAAAAGGCTGAGAGGAGATATGATAGCCATGTATAAATATGTGAGAGGAAGCCACAGGGAGGAGGGAGCAAGCTTGTTTTCTGCTTCCTTGGAGACTAGGACGGAACAATGGCTTCAAACTACAAGAAAGGAGATTCCATCTGAACGTGAGGAAGAACTTCCTGACTGTGAGAGCCGTTCAGCAGTGGAACTCTCTGCCCCGGAGTGTGGTGGAGGCTCCTTCTTTGGAAGCTTTTAAACAGAGGCTGGATGGCCATCTGTCAGGGGTGATTTGAATACAATATTCCTGCTTCTTGGCAGAATGGGGTTGGACTGGATGGCCCATGAGGTCTCTTCTAACTCTTTGATTCTATGATTCTAGCGAGGGAGAGAGATAGTATGACTGATCTGGGGTGATCACTCTTGAGAGGTTTTCCAGGGAGCCCTGTTGCTGTGATGGATTATAGTGTACTTGGACTTCTCTCCAGTTATGGAGAGCTTTGCATTGGAGTCCAAAATGGTGCTCAGGCACCAAGTCAATATTACTCTTATGTCATATATTTCTAACATAAGCCCTACCTTGAGAACTCTCATTGATTGGGATGATTTAGGATTCTGCTCCCACTAGGAAACTCCTGACTGGGATACTGCATTTTGAAATAGAAATCCTCACCAGTGAGGGAGCCTTACCAAGAGAGTCCACCATCCCATGAATCTCCTCCATTACTTGCGTGTGCAAGACTTTCTGATCAGGGCTCAGGAGAACCCACTCCTCCGGGGAGAAATGGACAGCCACATCCTCAAAGGTGATTGGGCCCTGGTGGGAAAAGAAGAGAAATCCTGCTCACATAAGAGACACCTCACAACTACCTCCTTTAGGCAAGTTGGAACTTTGCCTTCATCCAAGAAGGCACTGACCGCCCACTTCCCCCATTCTACCAGTCCCCCTTTGGCCTTTTTGATCAGTCAGGAAGGACAAGGACCTAGAATTCATGCGGCAGCTAACCTGTCCACATCCTCAGGCTGCCCATCCTCAGGCTTTAAATTTCTCTTCCTCCCTCCCGCCCACCCACCCCGATTTGTTGGCACTCTTTGCAATTGTGCTTTCAGTATCTCGCTTTGAAGAAACTCCCATTTAATCTTTTCTGTTTCAAGAGATATTTGATGATTAATGACCCTCCCAGGCAGCTCCCTTCCTCCTCTCCCGGGAATCCTTCTGCTTACCTGATTCACTCCCACTCCATCACAAAAGGGAAGAAATGACGGAGGATTCGGCAAGAACATCATTCCAGCCCCTGGGAGAGAGAGAGGAAGGTGTGAAAAGCTGATAACATAAGTATGTCTCAGAGGTGACAATCACACTCCTATAAAGAAATCTATGAGGAAATGACCCTATGAACACAGGAGCATTCTCCAGCCCAGGAATAGGTAACATTTTGGAGTTTAGGAGATTTTATCCCAATCAGTGCTGTGAATAGGTTGGATTGAAATGAGTCCTGGGCTTGGTATTCTTCTTCTTCTTCTTCATCATCATCATCATCATCATCATCATCATCATCATCATCATCATCATATTTAATTACATATTAATCGCCCTCCATCCGAGAATGCTCTAGGCGATTCACAGCTAAATTGTAAAAGATAAAATACATACGTACAGAAATTAAAAATTAACAGAGATCGAATGCTCTGGTAAAAAGCCAGGTCTTAAGTGCTAGAGTAAAAGGTCCTAAGTCACGCATGGCTCTCATGCAGGGCGGCAAGGAATTTCATAAGGCAGGGGCAGAAATAGAAAAAGCCCTGCGTCTGGTACTTTCCAAGTGCACTTTTCTAGGACCCGGTATATAGAGTAAGTTGCGTTGGGCTGGTCGTTGCAACCTCCAATGATGGGAGGAGAGGCGGTCCCTAAGGTACGATGGATCCTGGCCGTAAAGAATTTTAAAGGTCAGAACTAACATCTTAAACAGGCCAGTTGGAAGCCAATGTAAATGTTGCAGCACTGGTGTTATATGGCATTTCATGGGCGTTCTTGTGAGTAACCTGGCTGCCGCATTCTGAACAATACGGAGCTTTTGGGTCGTAGACATCGGAAGGGCCACATACATGGCGTTGCAATAGTCCAGCCTAGACGTGACCGTGGCATGGATGACAGTTGCCAGTGCCTCGTCAGATAGGTAGTATTTGATTGACTAAAGTTACTGTTTGTTGTCTGTTTGTCTTCCAGCTCAGTTTCAGGGCTCATCTTAGCGTCAGGTCCTATTTGGGAAGATACTGAAGGGCTGATTTTTCCGTCCCACCCAACAGTATGCAAATGTAGAAGTATTGCCAGAAAAACCTGCAAATCACACTGAAATTACACCTTTTGCTACTGAATGCCTTCGTATATACCAGTGGTTCCCAAACTTATTTGGCTTTTTGTTGTTGTTCATCCCTTCACTCGTTTCACACTCTTCGTGACCTCATGGACCATCCCACGCCAGAGCCCCCTGTCGGCTGTCACCACCCCCAGCTCCTTCAAGGTCAATCCAGTCACTTCAAGGATGCCATCCATCCATCTTCCTATTTGGCCTACTCCCTGGAAATCAATTTTTCTAAATCTCTTCTTTCTTTTATGCTTTCACCGCTCCCTTACAGTTATTCATCACCCCCAAATGCACTTGCGGCCATTACCACCCCCACCCCCACCCCCGATGGCTGCAGCGCCCACCATGGGGTGGTAACACCCACTTTGGGAATCACTGGTATATACTCATCCTTTAAAAAATATTATTGTATTATTATTATTATTATTATTATTATTATTATTATTATTGAGTAGATTTTGTACATTATTTCCATACACATTGTTCATCTATGACAACGCTTCCCCAACCTCTTCCTATTTCTCACTCTTCCTCCCTTGTATATTATCCACTCATTCATTTAACATATCTTACTTCTGTTCACTCTTTTCTTTTCTTTCCTCCCCCCACCCCACACCCATACCACAATTTCCATTATAACTTTAACTTCATCCATGAGCTCAGCTTTTCCTATCTCTGTACAATATTTACATTGGCTTCACTGCTTTTTATCCATCCCATACCTATATACTCATCTCAAGGCCAAATGATCCTGCCTGTGTATGGTCTCACTCTCAAACTACGATTCCCCCAAAAGGGAATTTACACTAGCATTAAACACCAAAACTCCCAGAAGGGTTCCTTCTTACCCTGCAAGGCTGCAGCTTCATTGAGGTCCTTCTGCTGGAGACTCTGGGTGGTGTCTGAATGAGATTTCTCTGATGCAGTTACATCAGGGTGGACGTCAATGCAGTTATTTTGGACCTGGAAGAGCACAAAGAATTCTACAAGTAATACAGAGAAATAATAGAAAATGATTTTTCCCCAATTGTGCAGAAACTGCATTCTGAGATTGGGCATACTCCCTCTCTCATCACTTTCAATGTAATATCTGGGGATTGACAAATGTTAGGAGAGGAGCAACTGAGCTTACAGTGGATATGGAGGTGAAAGCAGGAGGGGCAGAGAAAGTGGGAAAAGAGGCCGAGAGAGCAGAGTCAGGCTTCTCCCTCACATCAGTCCCCTCTTGGAAGGAAGGCAGGATGTACATTTAATCTCTCCATCAGTCCCAAGGTGAGTGAACCCAAGAGGCAATGCTCTCACCTGTCCCACCTGCTTCTCGTCCTCTTCCATCACATTCAATGTAATATCTGGGGTCAACATATTTAAGTGGAGGTGAGAGCAGGAGGGGCAGAGCGGGGGGGGGGGGGGGAGGCCAAGGGAGCAGAGTCCAGCTTCTCCCTCACATCGGTCCCATCTTGGAAGGAAGGCAGGATGTACGTTTAATCTCTCCATCAGTCCCAAGGTGAGTGAAGCCAAGAGGCAATGCTCTCACCTGTCCTTCCTGCTTCTCGTCCTCTGCCCGACTCAGGAGGAAGCCTTCCGCCAGGGCCACCGCCTGGGAAGAGGTCTCTGCCCCACACTCTCGGACCCAGCTCCCCATCTTTGGGGGCAGGTTGCTCAGGAACTTCTCCAGGTCCATCATCTCCACCTTGCTGTGTTGCTCTGGCTTCAGCCGCTGGTGGCAGAGATCGTGGAGGCGGCTCCAAACCTCTCTGGGTCCCTCGCCCTCTCGGTAGGAGGACTGCCTGAAGCGCTGGCGCTGTGTGTCTAAGCTAGAAAGGTCCACACTCAGGAAGTTATGTGTTATTGTTTCCCAGGATGCTCCACTGCTCCCAGGTGCTGCTTCAGGTTCAGGTGAGTTGGGTCTCTCCATGCTGGAACCACTCTTTGATGAAGGAGCCAAGTGGGTCCGAGATGCTCTTCCTCCCTCTTCTCTCTACAGGCTCAACTCCAAAATTCTCAGCCAACAATCAGATTTCCTCTGTGAAAGAAAGGCAGAATTAGACAACAATTAGACAATTAGACAACAGGCTTCGAGAGGCTTTTTCTCGGAGAGTGAATCTAAGGCTTCTCTTCCCTGCTCCATCCCTTTTCTCGGTGACATAGCAGACATTTATGTAGTCCTAATATCCTGATCGGGGCTCTGCCTCCCTCCTCCTCCCCTTCTATGTTTTCTTTTTTCCTTTGTGTGAAAAACATCTTTTCCTTTGATATGGATAATAAAAACTTAAGGGGGAAAAGAGGCCGGTGAGTGGGATGGAAGGGGAAAGCCCTGGGCCTCTCTCTGCCTGTCTCTCTCTCTCCTCCCAAGGACTCCAAAAAGGTGGGAGAAGCAGATGACTACCAACCCCAGGTGAGTCCAGGCCTAGGCCTACTTCGGCCCTCCCTCCAGGTGTGTTGGGCTTCAGCCCCTCTTTGGCCCTTTGGAGAAGGAATGGGAAGAAGGGTCACCAGAAGGAGGAAGAGAAGGAGGAGGAGGAGAGAGATAGGCTAAAAGGAGGAGGAGGAGGAAGGAGAGGCTGACAGGGCCAACTCTCCTCTCCCAGCCAGACAAGGAAGGGTTAAGAGGAGAGAGTTTGGTTCCTAGAGGGACAGGAAAGTCGTGTCTAAGGAGGCCCACTTCCTTCCTGCCTCTCTGGGAACCACACTCTCTCCTCTTAACCCTTCCTTGCCCAGCCTTACACTATTTATCATATCAGGAGTGAACCAGTTGCATTGCATTAATAAAGAACACAAACAAACAAAGTTTGCAGACTTGGTATTCTATTAAATGTCCTTTGACCAGTATCTGGCCACTTGGAGTGCCTCTGGTGTTGCCGCAAGAAGGTCCTCCATTGTGCATGTGGCAGGGCTCAGGGTACATTGCAGCAGGTGGTCAGTGGTTTGCTCTTCTCCACACTCGCATGTCGAGGATTCCACTTTGTGGCCCCATTTCAGAAAAAACTCGGAACTACTGGACAATGTTTTTAATGAGAATTTATTACGTTTTATTGTTATTGTTATCATTTTATTAATTTTAATGTTTTTATATTGTGCTTGTGTTTCTGTGACATTAAATTCTGCTTTGTAAACCGCCTCAAATCGCTGGAAGGTTGAGAGGGGTGGTACACAAATGTAGTAAATAAATAAATAAATAAATAAAACCACCTGGAGGGCCAAAGTTTGCCCATGCTTGCCTCACACAGACAAACTTATTTCCTTCATGCATAAGATCCAGGGACTTAATTTTTGCAAAATAGATCAAATTCTCACAGTCTACAACAAAATCAATGAAATACAACATTGTTAATTCTAAAATAACAAGGCTCATGTTTTTCAATTTAATGTGAATTAAATGTGTGTGTGCCAGGAGCAGGGAAACAGCCAGTAAATGCCAGCCAGATATACGATTTGCACATCAAGGGAAACAATAGTGTAAACATCTTTTCCTTTGACTTGGCCTCGACAGAAGCACTGTGTTCAATTCTGGAATCCCAGCTGAACAATAACACTCACAAACTGGATATCTGCAACCAAGGTGGTAAAGGAGTGGGAAACGAAGCCCAGAGGAACAACTGATAGAACTACATGTGGTTTCTATTTAAGTGACATTTAAATAACAAGAAAGAGGACTCCACCAAATCTTAGACAGAACTTCTCAAACTGTCTTGTTTGAAATCAGATGATATGGGTGTCCAGGGAAGCAAAAGCCTTCTCCAAAACAGTCCAAGTCAAAAAAAGTGAAAAACATGAACAGAATTTGAAACTAAGAAGAGAATTGTCTAAGAAATGAGTCCAAAGTCAAGTCAAGTGTTACTGGAAGCCAATGGAATAACACGTGCTCATCGGGAAATGTTGAATGTATAGTCTACAGCACCAGAATGTCCAGTACCTTCAATTTCCCGGTTGCATCTCATTTTATTTATTTTGTTCCAGCTCTTTGGATAATGTCCCTCCTGTATGTAGTCCGTGATAGTTCAAAAGGTATGAACCCCAATCAAAACATTTCCCACATGCCTCACATTTGTATGTTTTTAGCCTGTGTGTATTCTCTAGTGCTTGTTAAAGGATGAAGTCTGAGTAAAACAATTCCCATACTTCTGGAACTTCTACCCTTCCTTTCCTGTGTGTAGCTTTTTATGCCTCACCAAGGCTGAACTGTCAGCATAACATTTCCTGGACTTGGTATGGTTTCTCTCCAGTGTGGAGTTGTTTGTGCCTCAATAAGAGTGAACTGTGAGCAAAACATGTCCCACACTCCTGACATTGGTATGGCTTCTCTCCTGTGTGGAGTTTTTTGTGCCTCACCAAATCTGAACTGGAAGCAAAACATTTCCCACACTCCTGGCATTGGTAGGGCTTCTCTCCTGTGTGGAGTCTTTTGTGCTTCACTAAAGCTGAACCGTAAGTAAAACCTTTCCCACACTCCTGGCATTGGTATGGCTTCTCTCCTGTGTGGAGTCTTTTGTGGCTCACCAAGACTGAACTGTCAGCAAAAGTTTTCCCACACTCCTGGCATTGGTATGGCTTCTCTCCTGTGTGGAGTCTTTTGTGGCTCACCAAGGCCGAGCTGGAAGTAAAAAAATTCCCACACTGCTGGCATTGGTATGGCTTCTCTCCTGTGTGGACCCTTCTGTGGCTCACCAAGTGTGAACTGTTAGTAAAACACTTCCCACACTCTTGGCATTGGTATGGCTTCTCTCCTGTGTGGAGTCTTCTGTGCCTCACCAAGTGTGAACACTGAGCAAAACATTTCCCACAATCTTGGCATTGGTATGGCTTATTTCCTGTGTGGAGTCTTTTGTGCCTCACCAAGGCTGAACGGTAAGCAAAATATTTCCCACACTCTGGGCACTGATATGGCTTCTCTCCTGTGTGAAGTCTTTTGTGGCTCACCAAGGCTGAACTGGAAGCAAAAGACTTCCCACAGTCCTGGCATTGGTAAGGCTTCTCTCCTGTGTGGAGTCTTTTGTGGGTTACCAAGTGTGAACTGTTAGTAAAACATTTCCCACACTCCTGGCATTGGTATGGCTTCTCTCCTGTGTGGAGTCTTTTGTGCCGCACCAAGGTTGAACTGGAGGCAAAACATTTCCCACACTCCTGGCATTGGTATGGCTTCTCTCCTGTGTGGAGTCTTTTGTGCCTCACCAACGCGGAACTGTCAGCAAAACATTTCCCACACTCCTGGCATCGGTATGGTTCCTGTCCTGTGTGAATTCTCTCGTGGATAAAATATGTCCTCCACTCCTGGCTTATGAATTCCTCAATTCCTTCAAAGATTTCTTGTTTGCTGACACCTGGGAATTTAAATAAATAAATAAATACATAAACTTTATTTGTCGACTGCCATATGTTCCCGGAGGGACTCAGGGTGGTTTCCAACACATATGGGAAACATTCAATGCTAACAAAGAAGCTTATGAGCAAAGTACATTAAAAATGGAATGTGGAAAATTGGAATAACTATCTATTTGAGCAAGTCCAATTGGATATTCTTACAAGATGTGAATAGATAATATAGAACTACTTACATTACCACAATGTAAGCCTACAATAAACTTTATTATCTCTTCAAATATTATGTTATTTTGTTTTCAATATTTTTTTTAAAAAAACGAACAAATTAAGTCAAAACAAAATAAGTCAAAAAATAAGTCAACATATTAAACAGACCGCATCTCTGCCTATGAACCCACCAGGACTTTGAGATCTTCCGGGGAGACCCTGCTCTCGATCCCGCCTGCTTCTCAAGCTCGGCTGGCAGGGACGAGAGATAGGGCCTTCTCGGTGGTGGCTCCTTGGCTGTGGAACGCCCTTCCTACGGACATTAGACTAGCACCATCTCTAATGGTATTCCGCAAAAAGGTGAAGACCTGGATGTTTGTGCAGGCGTTTGAGTAATTTAGTGCAATCTGGTAATGGAACATAGGAATGGAACAATGGACGATGAACCTGGACTACGCTTGGATGAGAAGATTGGGTACGGTTGTTTTTTGTAATAATTGTGCATTGTAATTGCTTATTGGTAATTTATGGATAATGTGTTAAGTCAATTGTTATATGTTGTATGGAACCACTGCTGTTTCTACTGTTTTTACTGTTTGTGAACCGCCGTGAGTCGCCTTCGGGCTTGAGATACAGCGGTATATAAGCAAAGTAAATAAATAAATAAATAAACCATTTCTAGAAATTAATACCAAATAGCAATTATCCAAAAAATAAAACTGGACCACCTTAACAAACATAAAAATATTTATTTATTATTTACAGTTTTTATATTCCACCTTTCTCACCCTGCAGGGGACACAGGGCGGATTACAGTGTACACATATATGGCAAACATTCAATGCCAATTTTGACATACAACATATACAGACAGACAGAGGCTATTTAACTTTTTTCTGGCCGCCAAGGGAACTGTCACTTTCATCGTCCATCTGCGACACTGATGAAGTACTTTTGCATTCCCCGCATGCTTTTGCTGAAGTCTTTTTTTATGGCCTCATAAATCAGTTAATTTAGCCTCCCCACACTTTAAGGTGGTACCTTATTTTCCTACTTGACAGATGCAACTGTCTTTCGGGTTGCAAAGATCGACAACGGGCTACACAATTGGTTGGAAACCCACTCCAACCCGGGCTGGCTTTGAACTCATGACCTTTTGCTCAGAGTGATCTTAATGCAGCTGACACTCAGCTGACACTCAGCCAGCTGCGCCACAATCCCAGAGTACTTCCGTCTTGTCTGGATTCAATTTCAATTTGTTTGTCCTCATCCAGACCGCCACAGCTGTCAAGCACTGGTTCAGGACAAGAACAGCCTCCTCAGGAGTAGGTGAAAAGGAGTGATAGAGTTGAACATCGTCTGTGTACAGATGACAGTGAACTCCAAAACTCTGTATGATCTCTCCCAGCTTCATGTAGATGTTAAACAACATGGGAGACAATACTGAACCCTGTGGGACCCCCACAGGACAAAGTCTGTTGGGCCAAGCAGGTGTCCCCCAACAACAGCTTCTGAGAATAACCCTCCAGGAAGGACTGGAGCCACTGCAGAACAGTGCCTCCAAGACCCATTCCCATGAGGAGTCTCAGAAGGTCTACGGCAGGGGAGCAGACAACTCCCATGCTGTGGCAACTCCAATGGCTGTTTTTATGTTTATTTATTGTTTTTATTTGTTTTATATATATGTTCAGACTGACGCTTGTATGATATTAATATGCTGTAAGCCACTTTGGGTCCCTTGAGTGAGAAAAGAGAGGTATAAAGAATTATTATTATTATTATTATTATTATTATTATTGTTTCTACTACTCTTACGTTATATATTTCTAACATAAGCCCTGCCTTGAGGGCCCTCAGTGACTGTGATGATTTAGGATAATACTGCATTTCGGCTGTGGAACGCCCTTCCTACAGATATCAGATTGGCCCCCTCCCTGTTGGCGTTTCGGAGGAAAGTGAAGACCTGGCTGTTCGAACAAGCATTCGATTAAGCAGTGTAATTGAATATAGGAATACGGAATAATGGATGATGAGATTGGATTCTGATTTTACTGATGAGATACTAGTGATTGTTATATTGATGTTTAATTGTCGATGATGCTACTGTTTTTCACTGTCCCATATTCGTTTTGTGAAGTTTTTGCATTTAATTTTGCTGTTGTTAACCGCTTTGAGTCGCCTGAGGGCTGAGAAAAGTGGTATATAAATGAAGTAAATAAATAAATAAATTTGAAATAGAAATCCCCATGAGTGAGGGGGCCTTACCAAGAGAGTCCACCATCCCATGAATCTCCTCCATTATTTGCTTGTGCAAGACTTTCTGATCAGGACTCAGGAGAGCCCACTCCTCCAAAGAGAAATGGACAGCCACCTCCTCAAAGGCATCTGGGCCCTGGTGGAAAAAGAAAACATTTCCTTCTCACATAAGAGCTATAAAGAAAAATAATTACCCGTATATTCCAGCATATAAGACGACTGGGCGTATAAGATGACCCCCAACTTTTCCAGTTAAAATATAGAGTTTGGGATATATTCGTCATAGAAGACTACTCCTCTTCCAACGCACACCAATTTTTTTTTAAAAAAGCATCAGATTTGATTTCAAAATGGTAATTTTCCTATGACTGTACCTCCTTCTCTGCCTCTCAGATCTCACACATGTGAACCTGCACTGCTTCACTGCAGTCTTCAGGAGTGAGATATGAGAGGCAGAGAAGGTCAGACAGGTAAAAGAGGTGTGTTTGTGTTGAGATTAACTTCACAATTCAGCAGCAGATCAGTTGCACAACTTCAGCGCTTTCCAGTAGCTTCTTCCTGCACAGTATTTTCAGTCAACTGCTCCCACAGCCTGCAGTCACTCTGGAACCTTTTTACAGACACTTGAGTATTTTCTGTCAACTGCTCCCACAGCCTGCAGTCATTCTGGAACCTTTTACAGACACTTGAGCACATGCCCGGCCATTGTCAGTTTTACCATTGTCTTTCCCTCCGTCTAGATGATATTACAGACTTACCACAGCATACAGTTATAGCAGACAGGTTCTTAACAGACAGGTTCTTTAATTACATATAGCCTTCGACGAACAACATCACAGCACAAGGAGAAATATACACTGTATATGACTTCCTTATATACAATTCTAGAGCCCCCGGTGGCGCAGTGGGTTAAAGCACTGAGCTGCTGAGCTTGTTGATCGAAAGGTCGCAGGTTCGATTCCGGGGAGCAGCGTGAGCTTCTGCTGTCAGCCCTAGCTTCTGCCAACCTAGCAGTTCGAAAACATGCAAATGTGAGTAGATCAATAGGTACCGCTCCAGCGGGAAGGTAACGGCGCTCCATGCAGTCATGGCCACATGACCTTGGAGGTGTCTACGGACAACGCCAGCTCTTCGGCTTAGAAATGGAGATGAGCACCACACCCCAGAGTCAGACATGACTGGACTTAATGTCAGGGGACTACCTTTACCTTATATACAATTCTATACAATTACACATAGCAATCTCTGATTGGTTCCCAACTCATTGACTTAACTCAAACCCAGGATTACATAATTCACAATCACCTGGACTAGGCCAGAACACATTCCCCAAATGATTCCCTATATACAGTTAATGCATGACTCAGCATTTCCAATAGAAGCCCATTAGCAGTGCATGACTCAGCTATATTACATTACAATACATTGTAAAACCTGACGGTTTGTCTGGGCCCAGAGCCACTCTATCTCTTTCTTCCATACCCTGGGTGCCTCGGATGCCTGCAGCTTGCTCCGCCCTTCATTTACACCTTCCTGGTGAGGTGCCCCTTCAGCTCACCATTGGGACCGCATTATGGATTTTCCTCTACTGTACTTGTGCAGCGTTGCCCTTAATGCTTTCATACAGTCGCTGCATACGGCAGGGACACGGCCACTGCCATTTTTGAGCTCCCCCCACCATATGCGGCAACCACAGATTCTCCAATCCGATTGGAAGTTTCAGCACCCGCTCTAGAAGACTACTCCCGTGTATAAGACCATTCCAGCGTATAAGACGATCCCTGACTTTTGAGCAGATTTTCTTGGGTTAAAAAGTAGTCTTATACGCCAGAATATACGGTACAAGAAAACCTTTAAAGTACATTTACATTCCTGTTGGATGTTTGAAAGGGAAAGGGCTATGGCCTCCATGCTCCATGCTTTGTAGAGACATCCGGTTGGTCACAGTCAGAACGATTTCTTAATTGATATATACAATCAGAAATGGCACCTGGATATGTTCCAGCTTTTATTGTGGTGCCCAGAATGGGACACAGTGTTCTTTCAGATGAGGTCTCACAAAAGCTTCCCTTAATCAAGACACTATATTCTTTTGGATGCAGCCCAAAATCCCCTATTCTTTTAAGCTGCTGCATCACATTGTTGGACCGTGTTCAACTTGTGGTCTACTAACACTCCAAGATGCCTTTCATGTGAACTGTTGTCAAACCAGGTGTCACCTATACTGTGTCACAGTGGCGCAATGGGTTAAACTCTTATGCCGGTAGGACTGCTTACTGACAAGTCAGCGGTTCGCATGCAGGTAGAGTGGGTTGAGCTCCCTTTGTCAGCTCCAGCTTCCCATGCGGGGACATGAGAGAAGCCTCCAATATAAATTGGTACAACATCAAAAAATCTGGGCATCCCCTGGGCAATGTCCTTGCAGACAGCCCATTCTCTCACACTAGAAGTGACTTGCAGTTTCTCAAGGCACTCCTGACACGGAAAAAACCCCATCCTGTATCTGTGATTGGCATTTTTCTCTGGCCTAAATGTACTAAATGTTTCCTTTTCTTCCTCCAACTGTCTTTCACTAATTTCTTCTCATGACGTTCTTTCATCTTACATTCCCAGGCTGTACACAAAGGCTTATCCTTAGTCTTGTGGGAGAACCACTTCTTGCAGGTGTCCTTCCACACGCGGCCTGACTTCGGCCTCCCTTTGGGGACAGCTGGCATCTCATTCCGCTTCTCACCCGACTCTTCCTTGGGCCTCCTTCCTCCAAGGCAGCCATGGCCCTCTCTCCCCTCCCAGCCGGCTGGGTCTCTTCATTCTGCCCTGCCTCTCCCTCAGCAACCAGTGGCACCATTTCCACGACTGGCTTCCCCATTCTGGTTTCTGTATATTTTTCTGATTTTTCCCCTCCTTGTTGTCACTGTTTGCAATTGTGCCTTCAGTATCTCACTTTTAAGCAACTCCCATTCAATCTTTTCTGTTTCAAGAGATGTTTGATGATGAAGCCTGGAAGGAATTACCCCCAGGCAGCTCAAGTTCTCCTCTCCCAGGAATCCTTCTACTTACCTGATTCAGTTCCACTCCATCACAAAAGGGAAGAAACGACTGAGGATTCAGCAACAACATCATTCCAGCCCCTGGGAGAGAGAGAGAGCAAGGGGTGGAAACACAAGATTCAGAAGAAAAATAAAAACTTAGGTATGGGACCAAGCCTTTGGGCAGTAAGGGGTACAAGGAATGATCAGGGATTATATGAAACGGATATGATATTTGGAACGGCCTGGACTACAATTGTTCTATTGTGTGATTTTAATATTTATATTTATATGTTTTTAATTTCATGTTTTAATGTTAAATGATGTCATATTTTATGATTTAATTGATAGCTGTATGTTAGTATCATTACATTAGGTTTCTGTATGTGAGGCATTAAATTTTTCCGTAATTTTGTTGAAAACCACTTTGAGTCCCCTGCTGGGATGGGAAAAGTGGTATACACAAGTGAAGTAAATAAATAATAAATAAATAAACATGCCTCAGAAGTAACAATTACAGTCCTAAAACGAAACTTAAGAGGAAATGGCCCTATGAAAACAGGAGCATTCTCCATCTCAGGAATATGTAACGTTTTGGAGTTGGGGACGTTTTTTTTATCTCACTCAGTGCTGTGAATAGATTGCAATGAAACTAGTACTGGGCTTGGTATTTGAACTGACTAAAGTTAATCTTTGGTGTCAGCTCAGTTTCAGGGCTCATGTTAGCTTCGGGTCCCACCTGGGAACATACCGTACGGCTGATATTTCAGTCCCATCAACAGTATGCAAATATAGAAGTATAACAATAAAGAAAACTCCAAATCACACTAAAAGTACACCTTTTGCAACCAAATGCTTACCTATATAATCATCTCAAGGCCAAATGATCCTACATATATGGCTTCTCTAGCTCAAACTGATTGTGGATGTGCTACAAGACCCAGAAGGGAAAATTTAGATTGGCATAAAACACCAAAACTCTCAGAGGAGTTCCTTCTTACCCTCTAAGGCTGTGGTCCCATCTCCTTCCTGCTTGAGCTCCCTCTGCTGGAGGGTCTGGGTGGTGTCTGGTGGAGAGTTCTCCCATTCAAAGACATCAGGCTGGACTTCAATACAGTAATTTTGGGCCTGAAAGAGCACAGAGAATTTCAGAAGTAGTATGGAGAAATATTAGAAAAGGATTTTTTCCAAAAGTGCAGAAACTGCATTCTGAAATTGGCCATATTTGACCTGCTATTATTTTCAATGGTGTATCAGGGGTCAACAAATTTGAATTGAAGTACAACTGAGCTCACAGTAGATATGGAGGTGAGAGCAGGAGGGACAGAGCAGGTGGGAAAAGAGGCCAAGGGAGCAGAGTCCAGCTTCTGCCTCACTTTGGTCCCATCTTGGAATGAAGGCAGGATGTAGGTTTACGCTATCCATCAGTCCCAAGGTGAGGGAACCCAAGAGGCAATGCTCTCACCTGTCCTTCCTGCTCCTCGTCCTCTTCCCGACTCAGGAGGAAGCCTTCCGCCAGGGCCACCGCCTGGGAAGAGGTCTCTGCCCCACACTCTCGGACCCAGCTCCCCATCTCTGGGGGCAGGATGCTCAGGAACTGCTCCAGGATCACCAGGTCCAGCATCTCCGCCTTGGTGTGTTGCTCTGGCTTCAGCCACTGGCGGCAGAGATCGTGGAGGCGGCTGCAAACCTCTCTGGGTCCCTCGCCCTCTCGGAAGGAGGAATGCCTGAAGCGCTGCAACTGCATGTGTGAACTATAAAGATCCATACTCAGGAACTTATTAGTAGTTTTTACCCAGGATGCTCCACTGCTCCCAAGTCCTGCTTCAATTCCAGGTGAGTTGGGTCTCTCCATGTTGAAACCACTCTTTGTAGAAGAAGCAAAGTGGGTCCAAGATGCTCTTCCTGGCTCTTCCCTCTAGGGAAAGAAATCCCTGAACAGGATCTACTCCAAAATTCCCAACCACCATTCACATTTCTTCTGTGAAGGAAAGGCAGAATTAGACAACAGGCTTCTGGAGTCTTTTTCTTGGAGAGTAAAACCAAGCCCTTTATTAATTTCAGAGCCAGGCAATGCTGGGCCCTTCTTTCACCTGAGTCTCTGCTTCTCCCACCTGGCTTCACCTGGCCTCCCAGGGAGCTCCTATTCAGTCTCAACACCGATTTTGAAGCAACAGAAACGGAATACGCAAAAATAGGGAAACAACAAAACAAGCCAACACCAGAAAATTGGATAACGAAGGTTTTTTGAAATGGCCAAAATGGACAAATTAACTTTAGCTGCACCACAAAGAAATACACAGAAACAGAGGTAATGCTGGGCCCTCCTTCCATTTGGGCCTCTGCTTCTCCAGCCTCCAGGCCCACCTGGCCTCCCATTGAGCTCCCATTCAGTTCCAACCCACGCTGGATCCCCCCGTGATTCCTTCCGCTGATGCCTCATGATCCATGGCCTCTCTTGTAGAGAAGAACCAAGAGACAAAAACTGCTGCTCTGGGAAGAGAGGGGCCAGGAAGACAGTTCCACCTTGTCTCCTGTACTGGGCTAAAATGTAATATAATATAATATGTATACATAAAATATTGATAATATTATGTGATACAATATACTAATAATAATACAATATTATAATTATATATTTTATATTATGTGTAATGTTACCAATAATATTCCAATATAATGATATAGTACAATATAGTAATATATAATACTAACATTGTGTATGGTAATAATATAGTATGTTGTATCTACATGTTATTTGTAAGCTACCCAAGATTGTGGCGCAGCTGGCTGAGTGTCAGCTGCATTAAGATCACTCTGACCCAAAGGTCATGAGTTCGAAGCTAGCCCAGGTTGGAGTGGGTTTCCAACCAATTGTGTAGCCTGTTGTTGACCTTTGCAACCCGAAAGACAGTTGCATCTGTCAAGTAGGAAAATTAGGTACCACCTTAAAGTGTGGGGAGGCTAAATTAACTAATTTATGAGGCCATAAAAAAGACTCCAGCAAAAAAGCATGCGGGGAATGCGGAAGTACTTCATCAGTGTTGCAGATGGACGATGAAAGCGACAGCTCCCCTGGCGGCCAGAAAAAGTTAAATAGCCTCTCTGTATGTCTGTATATGTTGGAGTTTTCGATAGAGTTACAAGCTGGGTAGATGCGGGGAATGCCGTGGATGTAGCGTACCTGGATTTCAGTAAGGCCTTTGACAAGGTCCCCCATGACCTTCTGGCAAGGAAACTAGTCCAATGTGGGCTAGGCAAAACTACGGTGAGGTGGATCTGGAATTGGTTAAATGGACGAACCCAGAGGGTGCTCACTAATGCTTCCTCTTCATCTTGGAAAGAAGTGACGAGTGGAGTGCCGCAGGGTTCCGTCCTGGGCCCGGTCCTGTTCAACATCTTTATTAATGACTTAGATGAAGGGTTAGAAGGCAGGATCATCAAGTTTGCAGACGACACCAAATTGGGAGGGATAGCCAATACTCCAGAGGACAGGAGCAGGATTCAAAACAATCTTGACAGATTAGAGAGATGGGCCAAAACTAACAAAATGAAGTTCAACAGTGACAAATGCAAGATACTCCACTTTGGCAGGAAAAACGAAATGCAAAGATACAGAATGGGGGATGCCTGGCTCGAGAGCAGGACGTGTGAAAAAGATCTTGGAGTCCTCGAACAAGTTAAACATGAGCCAACAATGTGATGTGTGGCAAAAAAAGCCAATGGGATTTTGGCCTGCATCAATAGGAGTCTAGTATCTAGATCCAGGGAAGTCATGGTACCCCTCTATTCTGCTTTTGTCAGACCACACCTGGAATATTGTGTCCAAATTCTGGGCACCACAGTTGAAGAGAGATATTGACAAGCTGGAATGTGTCCATAGGAGGGCAACTAAAATGATAAAGGGTCTGGAAAACAACCCCTATGAGGAGCGGCTTAAGGAACTGGGCATGTTTAGCCTGAAGAAGAGAAGGCTGAGAGGATGATAGCCATGTATAAATATGTGATAGGAAGCCACAGGGAGGAGGGAGCAAGCTTGTTTTCTGCTTCCTTGGAGACTAGGACATGAAACAATGGCTTCAACTACAAGAAAGGAGATTCCATCTGAACACGAGGAAGAACTTCCTGACTGTGAGAGCCGTTCAGCAGTGGAACTCTCTGCCCCGGAGTGTGGTGGAGGCTCCTTCTTTGGAAGCTTTTAAACAGAGGCTGGATGGCTATCTGTCAGGGGTGATTTGAATGCAATATTCCTGCTTCTTGGCAGAAGGGGGTTGGACTGGATGGCCCATGAGGTCTCTTCCAACTTTAGGATTCTATATAATTGTCGTAGATAAATATATCAATATAATGATTGAAGTAAAATCTTTGGAAATCCAGATGACAAAGAGAAGCTCTGAATTATTTAAAAACTTATGGGGGGGAAAGAGGAGCCAGAGAGGCAGGTGAGTGGGTGGGCAGGGGAAGGGGAAAGCCCTGGGCCCCCCTCTCTCTCTGCCTGCCTGCCTCTCCCTCCTCCCAAGGACCCCCTGGTTGGAGAATCTGGTGACGCCCAACCCCAGGTGAGTCCAGGCCTGGGCCCCCTTTGGCCCTCCCTCCAGGTGTGTTGGGCTTCAGCCCCTCTTTGGCCCTTTGGAGAAGGAATGGGAAGAAGACTCACCGGAAGGAGAGGAAGGAGGAGGCGGAAAAGGACAAAGGGACCAACTCCCCTCTCCAATCAGGCAAGGAAGAGTTAAGGGGAGGGAGTTTGGTTCCTAGAGGGGCAGGAAAGGCCAGTCTAAGGAGGCCCACTTCCTTCCTGCCTCTCTGGGAACCACACTCCTTGCCCTTAACCCTTCCTTGCCCAGGTTACACTGGAAGGAGGGGGAAAGAGCATCTCTCCAAAGCCCTGGAACCAAAGGATGAAAGATGAAGGCAGTGAGAGAGTCATGGAGGAAACACTCCATATTCATAAGATAGTTAGTTAGATGTATCCTCTCCCTGCCAAACCCTTGCTCCCCAACCCCGTCAAAGGTGCCTTCCTCTTGGCACATGTCTCCTTTTCGCCCTCCACTCGTGCCTCTTCGAATTCTGCAGCACTGCTGGTCACAGCTGACCTCCAGTTAGAGCACTCAAGGGAATTACATATACCACTGGATACAATTTTAGCAATGGTTCTGTCCATAACAATGGTTAGCAATGGTTCTGTCCACACCGGGATTGTGGCATAGCTGGCTGAGTGTCAGCTGCATTTATTATTATTATTATTATTATTATTATTATTATTATAAAACTTTATTTGTACCCTGCTAGCATCTCCTGAAGGATTCGATGCGGCTTACACAGGCCGAGGCCTCAACACACAACACAATCTAAGCAAATCAAACAATTAAAAACAGAATAAAGCAAAATAAACAACAAAATTAAGATCACTCTGACCAAAAGGTCATGAGTTCGAAGCCAGCCCAGGCTGGAGTGGGTGTCCAGCCATTGTGTAGCCCGTTGTCGACCTTTGCAACCCGAAAGACAGTTGCATCTGTCAAGTAGGAAAATAAGGTACCACCTTGTGTGGGAGGCTAAATTAACTAATTTATGAGGCCATAAAGAAAAAAGACTCCGGGGAATGTGGAATGCGGAAGAACTTCATCGGTGTCGTTGATGGACGATGAAAAGCAGCAGCTCCCCTGGCGGCCAGAAAAAAAGTTAAATAGCCTCAGTGTATTTGTCTGTTAACAGTTGTTTGTCAAACTGGCATTGAATGTTTGCCATATATGTGTTTACTGTAATCTGCCCTGAGTCCCCTGCGGGGTGAGAAGGGCGGAATATAAGAACTGTAAATAAATAAATAAATAAATAAATAAGAGGGATATTGTCTGTTTGTCCATCCATTCCTTTCTCGTTTAAATACAATCTATTATATACTGTGGTTTCACATATTTTCAGGAGATAAGATTCCCACCTTTTATGAGTAAAGCTTGAGTTTGTATTGTCTAAGTCAAAAATGTATCTGATGAACAAGCACTTCCATTATTTTTTTTCTGACTTGAATTAGAATACAATGAAGTTTTCAATTTGAAGTTATGTCTGCTGCCATTATTTATTTAATATTTATTTAAGTTTGCTCACAAAGTCGTATCCTTGATCACACAGCAACTGCTATAAAACAAAAAGCCTTTGTTTAACATTCATAAAAGAGGTGCATTGCCTCATTGCCCTCAAAGTCATGTTCAATTTGCCTGAACACATAACATGGAATAACTATTCTGCCGTGGTCCGACCACACCTGCAATACTGAGTCCAATTCTGGGCAATGCAACTGAAGGGAGATGTCGAGAAACTGGAATGTGTCCAGAGGAGGGGGACGGAAATGATCGAGGGTCTGGAGAACAAGCCTCCCTTTCTCTTTTTTCCTGATCGCAACCCTTTCTCTTCCTCTCGCCATGCACACCAACCTCTCTGCTCTCCGCACAACGACCCAGCTGAGTTGTGGAGTTGTGCTGTGTGGAGAGCAGAGAGGGTGCGTGCATGGCAAGGGAAGGGGGGAGGCCGTGCCATCCAAAGTGATGGCACACGCACCTCCCTTTCTCTTCCTCTCTCCGCACATGCACCTCTGTTCTCCACACAGCAACCCTGCAGGAGGGCGCATGAACGGCAACAGGAGGGGGAAGGAGGTGTGCTTCTCTCTCCCTGTTATTGCTCCGTGCGTGCACACACCCTTCTCCTTCTTTTGCTTCAGGCACGGTAACTTTTCCAAGGTGGCTTTTATACTACGTGGGGGTGAGATGAGAAATACGTATCAAAGAAGCAGCAGAGTTGGTAATTGCCTGGAAAGGCACTCAGCGTGTGGCAAGAGGTGAGGGTCCTGGCGGAAAGGCAGGGAATCGAAGAAGGGCTTTGTTCAGCCCCACGCCTTCCCGCCAGGACCCTCAACAGAATATAAGCCGAGGGGAACTTTTTTTACCCTAAAAAAGGGCTGAAAAACTTGGCTTATATTCGAGTAAATACATGAGAATCGTATTTAACCCTCTGAAGGATTATCACAGGGAGCTTGCTTTCTGCTGCTCCAAGAACAGGACCCCAATTTAGGGATTTAAATGACAAGAAAGGGGAATCTACCAAATCTTAGGCAGAATGTCTCAAAAGGTTGTTTGAAATCAGATATTTACACACAAAGGCTGAGTTCTCTGATGGTTTACAAGGGATGAATTCTGAGTAAAACACTGTTCACACTCCCGGCATTGGTACGGCTTCTCTCCTGTGTGGAGTCTTTTGTGGCTCACCAGGTCTGAATTGCGAGCAAAACATTCCCCATATTCCTTGCATTAGTTTGGCTTCTCTCCTGTGTGGAGTCTTTTGTGCCTCACCAAGGCTGAACTGGAAACAAAACATTTCCCACACTCCTGGCATTGGTATGGCTTCTCTCCTGTGTGGAGTCTTTTGTGGTTCAACAAGGCTGAATTCAGAGCAAAACATTTCCCACACTCCTGGCATTGGTATGGCTTCTCTCCTGTGTGGACTCTTTTGTGGCTCACCAAGGCTGAATTCACAGCAAAACATTTCCCACACTCCTGGCATTGGTATGGCTTCTCTCCTGTGTGGACTCTTTTGTGGGTTACCAAGTGTGAACTGTTAGTAAAACATTGCCCACACTCCTGACATTGGTATGGTTTCTCTCCTGTGTGGAGTTTTTTGTGCCTCACCAAGTGTGAATTTGTGAGCAAAACATTTCCCACACTCCTGGCATTGGTATGGCTTCTCTCCTGTGTGGACTCTTTTGTGGCTCACCAAGGCTGAATTCACAGCAAAATATTTACCACACTCCTGGCATTGGTATGGCTTCTCTCCTGTGTGGAGTCTTTTGTGGCTCACCAAATGTGAATTGCGAGCAAAACATTTCCCACACTCCTGGCATTGGTATGGCTTCTCTCCTGTGTGGACTCTTTTGTGGTTCAACAAGGTTGAATTCAGAGCAAAAGATTCCCCACACTCCTGGCATTGGTATGGTCTCTCTCCTGTGTGGAGTCTTTTGTGCCTCACCAAGTTTGAATTTTGAGCAAAACATTTCCCACACTCCTGGCATTGGTATGGCTTCTCTCCTGTGTGGAGTCTTTTGTGCCTCACCAAGTGTGAACTCTGGATAACTGATTTCCCACACTCCTGTCCTATGCGATCTTCAGTTTCTTCAAAGATTTCTTCTTGGCTCAGACCTGGCAGTTTGTAATCAGCAACACATTTTGCAGGTACTTTCCCTTTAAAATGGCCTTTCCCAGCACTGAGTGTCTTGTGAATAATAAGTCCTATATTTTGGGAAAAACACTGCCCACATACATTGCATTTGTAAGGCCTTTCTCTGGCAGAACACTCATCTTCTCTGTGGCTTTGCTGGCATCTAGGAAGGCCCCCATTGTGTTCCAAATGGTTCCTGTGTTTGTTGTTCCAATTATCTGCTGTAAAGAAGGACAGAAACAGTGTGAGTGATGAGGACTCTTGGGAATTGGTATAAGAAGGAGATTGAAATGATCTTTAAAACAACATAGATATGGAAAAAAGAAGATATAACTGTTGTCCTCTCCCCACTCCTTGTTCAGTAAAGATGGACACTCTTTCACTGCCTGGAGCCTCTAAGGGAGAGCTGAGTCACATCTGCTCCAGAGGCTACCTGTTCCTCAGCCCAGCCTGGCTTTTTATTCTGTCTCCTTCTTTCTGGGGGAATGTATGACTTTTCCCTTCACATTCAAATGCTCGCCTTTTTCTCTAGCTAAAACTTTACCTTACTACCACCCATTTTACGGTTTTGCATGACAAGGCTGGATAGATACAAGATAGTGACTGTAAATTAAAAGGGGAGAAAAGAATGAAGGCAGAGAAGGGAACAAAAAAAGAACGTCTGCAGAACTCGACCAGATATAGTGACATCCACTTAACACCACCCTGGAGAGAGTGGATATTGCCTCCTAACCATCCCGGTTTCTGAGGAGTGAGAAGACTGTGCACCAGAGGGAAGAGCTGTTGGTAATCCAAATGCCGCAATCACAGAGACTTCTTGGAAATGTCATGCTTAGGACTGTCCCTTTCGTCAGGCAATTGCTCTGGTTCCAATACCTGTCTAATTCTGCCCGGCTTTTACAGGGGAGCGGCAACTTCTTCACCTATGAGAATTTAGGGAAGTGGCAGGGGATATATGAACTATTTCCTAAACTTTAGGTTGGAATAAATATATGGAGTGTTTCAAAAAAATGGACTCAATTTGATTTCTGCAATTGTGAATCTACCATGAATGACACTCTTATCACTTGAAAGAGAGGGGCATAGGGTTGGATTACTGCTATATGCCTCTCCCAGTGCACAAAAAATCCTGAGGCCCAATTATTCACAAGAACAGAACATAGAATGCATTATGTTGCAGGTCACCATCTTGCAAATGACTGAGGCAGGGGCTGTTTGTGTGCTGGGAGAGGCAGCGTAGAAAGAGAACTTAGCTTCAGACATGCAAAGGCTAGCCTGCCTGGCTGGGAGGAAAAACTAAGTTGAATATCACAACGAAAATAAGATGTATAGCCGTGCCTGCATATCTGAATCCAGGGGAAGTTTGTCCTTTTTCATGATCCATTCTCTAGCCACTTTCTCCAGCCAACCTGCTCCCTCCCTCTCATTGTCTCTCTCACACACTCACGGGTGGGTGGGAGAGAGAGAGAGAGAATGAGAATGATCTGGGGTGATCACTCTTGATAGATTTTCCAGGGAGCCCAGTT